CGCTTGTATTTCATCTAGCATCTGCCATGTTTAACCTAGAATCTTCTGCGTTGCATCTAAAGTCGCTTGTATTTCATCTGGAATCTGCCTTGAATCTTCCATGTCGTACTCAGGGGTGATACGACTGGAAGCCAGGACTCCGGCAGATTCGCTGCGCGTGCAACAGACGTGTCGCGTCGCTCCGGCGAGGCGGACGGTTGCCACAACGATCGCGAGCGTTCATCCCGCGCGCGTGTTCCGCCGGACTCTGAGCTTGATGACTTGCTGCGGACACGCGAGGGCGCCGGCGCTGCGGACGACAGCGACGTGCGATACACGACGGTGCAGTTCGATGAGAAGGACGTGCCGGCGCCCTCTGGTGGATCGCCGCCGCGACACGCGTCTCTGTTCCCGCGCCTCGCGGGGAAGACGGCCAGCGACTTCTACGCGGAAGACTTCAGCGTCGGAGACAACGTGCGACACGTGTCGCAGTACCCGGCCGCGTCACCGCTGCGCTTTGCCGACATCAGCGATGAGGTCGCGACCCCTCAGCGGCGCCACGGCGACGACGACGACGACGTGGCAAGGTTGAGGTCGTTTGCGGCGAGGCGCAGCCGGAAGACGCGATTCACGCTGGACGACGATTCGCGAGTGAAGCTCGACAAACTCACATCGGTGCGTGCGACCTTCGCGCTGGTGATGCTGTCGTAGTGCGTGTCTGTGATGTGTTTGTGGTGGATTTTTTCATTGGTGTGTGAGACCCCCGCGCTGGTGGTGCTGTCGTAGTCTGTGTCTGTGATGTGTTTGTGAACAAAGACAGGTCTGTCATTGTATAACCTTAAGATTATCGATCTACATTACATTCTTTTCATACTATTATGCTTACTATATTTGTTCATGGAAACATGCCTTCAATTGAAATTTATACATGATTTTTGAAGAAAATCCCAATTGAATTGATCCCCGATTTGGGAATATTGACACATGCATAGTGTTAAGGCACACAATTATTGTATCCCCCGCGACGAAGTCGGCGGGTATACTATGGTTTCATGTCTCCCCAGCCGCCGCCGCCGCAGACAATTTCCCTTCCGCTCTATAATTCGACCCCTAATTGACCTAGCGCTACCAAACTTGGTATACTTACACATCTTGGGGAGAAGGTGAGCAGCGTACCAAAACCAGGTCACTGCGACCTTTATTTGACCTTGACCTTGACCTTCATCATATTTCCCTTCCGCTCTATAACTCGGTCCCTAATTGAACTAGCGCGACCAAACTTCGTATACTTACACATCTTGGGGAGAACACGGGGGATACATGTAGTTGGCGACAACTGCCCTTTCTAGTTTACAATGAAGGTATGGGCATTAACAGCATAATACTATGCTATTGGTTACAATACCATCAGTATGAACAAAAGTCCTATGCAAAATACAAACTTATGGAATATAATTACAATGTATTTGCAATTCAAAACTTGAAGGTAATATAAAACAGGTTATTCAGTAGCTTACATAAGACTAACAAGAAGACTTACATAAGAACTTTCAAAATACACTGAACACCTATAAAGGTACGAACATTGGGACTTGTTTGCATAGCACCAATAACACAATCATCTTCCCCTCAATGATTGTGTCAGCAGGTCATTTTTCGGCTCACGTAATATTTGCATAATATCAGCTTAATATTTTTCTGGTAAAATTCCCAATGATTCGATCACATAAATTCTGTCCGTTTCAGGAAGGATTTTCTTGAGTTGTGTGACAACGTTGGAGACACGCACTCTGTGTCGGATGGCTATAGTTCTGGAGGGTCTCTTATCAGTGATATATTGGGTGAGTACAGGTAAACTATCTGCTAGATTTAACCTGGCCTAGGTGAAATGATGGCTAGGCAACACATTTTTCAGCTGAACTAGCCGTTCTGGTTGAGAAATAATGCAAAGTTGACACACTGTGTGACATGTGGTAGAAGGTAATCATCCTAGTTAATATCACCTCATATTAGGTGTTCAACCCTCCCTCTAAGTTTAGCAACTTCTAAACAGTGGCAGGAGTTGAGGGTTTTTCTTCAAAATTCCTGGAAATTCTCCAAGAACTTTGCAGTTTTATAGCTGTGTGTGTGTGTGTAAATTTGTGTACTTGGCCCCCCCCCCCCACCACCACCCCCCACCCA